GTGGTGGGGGGGGGGGCGGCGGCGGTGTTGGCAGCGGTAGCCAGTAGCGGCGGTGGTAAGCTTCCAAATCTGCTGCATGAACATGCGCCTCCTCATCTACCACCTCCACAGCCGGAGAATCCTCTGCCGCGTCATCCGCTGCCGTGTCCTCCTCTGCCACATCCTCCTCTGCCGCGTCCTCCTCTGCTGAGCCCTCCTCTGTCGGCGTGGGGTCTGGTGGCGCCACCTTGTGCCTGAGAGCAGAGACGTGAAGCAGCAAAGACTTTTGCTCTTCTCCTGTCTTCTGCTAGTTTGGAGCTCCTACGACAATGACTCGAGAATGTGAATTCGGATGGGTATAGGGGGCATGTGCACGAGACTTTGCCTGATAAGCCTTTGGACAAAATGAGTGACAAGGTGGACCATGCCGAGGCACTCCACGACCACACCTCGCTTCTGCAGCGCATGCAAAAGGCACCTTGCTTTCCAGGCACACAGGCCACGACGGGGCTATTGCAATCACTGTTTGGCAATTTAGCAAACAAATAATCCAGGCACTCGGAAGCGTCTGGGCGACATTCGTCGTCCGCAAGCAACATGCTCTCCTCTTCTGCGCCGGAGGCCATGAAGAAAACCTCCGATGCAGCCGATCAAAACAAGAGACCGACGGGGATGTGCTTAACAGGCGCTACACATGATGAACAATGACGCAGCGCAAAGGCCAGCACTGTAGCACAGAAGAATACGAGTAGTCGATGTCGTTGAAAGGCTTGGGAAGGGCAGACCTTACCACAAGCCAGGACAGGACTTCCTTGCTGCCTCCACGGCACCCTTGGCTGCGCATAACGCTCTGCAAACTGAGGTTGTGACTTTTGTCATGATCCCTTCCGTGATGCGATTTTTGCAAGTCAAAGAGGAACAAAGCAAGACACCGCTAGCCGGCGTCCCTTGAGCCGAGTCGGCTTAGATCATGCAGGCTGCCATCGAGCACAGCACTGCCATGGGCCCATGCAGGCTTGTCTATGCAGTTCTCCCACAAGGAGCTGGCTGCGACAATGCATGCTCAATGTGCGAAAAGGAGCCCCGCGCCTTGCGATAGCAGACTTCAGGACTCTCAGACCATGGCTGGAGATTTTGCCCGCAAGGACAGTACTGCACATTATTTCAAAACCCCAGTCTGCCGTGACGATGCTTATGGCTTATGCTTAGACCAAGTGGCTAGAAAAGATAGTGCGGGGCTTAGCTGCCGGGATCAAGCAACAGGCTTGCTATGCAAAAGCTGGACTGGCCATGTACTGTCTGGAAAGAAGGAACATCTCTGCAGAAACACGCGCTGCGGGGCTGAAGCAGACCACTTTTCTGGCAGTTGGCAGGCTCAGGGAAACCCAACCACCTGGGTTGGAGTCGACGCCGTCGAGCTTGGGAGACACGACTAGCAGCAGCACGTCTCTGACTAGTCGAGTGTAAACGGCCGTGTCGACGTGCTCCATTGTACCTGATCCAATAGCCGGGTAGTCATTCACTTCAAGTAGCCAGGCTTTCCCACCGGCATCCAGGATTATGTCCAAGCCGAAAACCTGGCAAAGTTCAGATTCTTTTGGAGCGTACGGCCCCCGTGGCGCATATTCCGCGACGGCTCCAAAAACCTGCCGAGTCAGTTGTTGAACTTGCTGCCTCAGCCCTGGATCTTCCACCAGTGTGGGTTTAGGCAAGTGCTTCAGCTTCGCGACATTGCTAATATGGGCGGCGCGCAAATCTAGCTGCTCTGTGTACGGCTGACCATACTCCAAAGTGATAATGTCGTCATGGCAGTACAGCCCAAGCGTCCCATCCGGGAGCCCATGTAGGAGAGCGTGTGCTCTCAACACCCACTTCCGCCCGTTGCGCAAAGCAGGTGGCCATACATAGCGCTGAACTATGAATTGCTTAGATCCTTTGTGCCCAAGCTCGCGCAGCCGCTCCAGAAGCGAAGAGCGCTCAAACAAATGCACACCTGTGCCCTTCACTCCCAGACTGTGCTTCAGAAAGAAAAGGCCCTGTTCACCCGGTGGGTCTGCTAAAAACTCTTGCGCATCCCACGTCGCTGGATGGATGTCGGAATGACCGGCAGCTTGGAGATGTATGGCAAGCTGTGCCTAGGCTGTGCAAGTTTTGTTGAACCCATGCTAGGCAGGCAGCGTTTGATGAGAAATGCTTCCACTGCCATGTCCCACATAGACAGGGAAGATACTGCAGCACAATAGTACTACCATGACTTATCCACTCATCAGGCACTACACGCAGAAGGAACCATACCGAACTCATGAACATCACGGCACACATCAGCAATGCTGCGAGCTGCAAAAACCTTGCCACATCAATAAGCTTAAGCGCCGCTAAGCAGCCTTGTTGTCCAAACGCCCCGTAAAATCCTGCCAAGACAAATGGCACAGTCGTTCTCCATTTCAGACGCACAAGCTGGAGTTAGCTTGTGCAAGTGGTGCCTGGGGGAAGGGTCGGATAAGTGGGAGCACGTCCGCCACCATCTGACTGGCTGGAAACTTTCCAGCCTGTCCTGAGTTGGCTGCGATAAAGCATCCTTGAGGCGTTCGCACCTCCTGCATCCTCCTGCCTAGCATCTTAATCCCAACCCATTGAAAATGACAGGTTGGGCGTCGAGTTGGCCAGCAGAACGCCGGGACAATGCTATCATCGTCCTCTTGAACAGCCTGCATCTGTGCTTCAGGCCAACAACAAAGTCGAATAGCACCAACACGCCGGCCGTGGCCTAGACTTTTCACTGCAAATATTCAGAGGCCATCAAACCCCATTGGAGTCCAGTCTAGATCAAAGCTCGCGCCTGCCAACCGCTGGATTGACAAAGCTGCAGGCCCTGCCGGTGCAACTTGCCCAGCGGGTTTCCCCAGCCCCACCTCAGCTTGTAAAGGCTTTGGCGAGGGGCCTGTGAAGGGCTGGTATACTTTTTGGTGATAACAGTACTAACTGCAAATGCCAAGTAAGAGCTAATCTGTTGGATTGTGCACGCGATTCAGCAACAAAACAGCTACCGTGGTGCAGTCTAGAAGCCAACTACAGTGGACTGCTAGTCTTGGTTTTTGTTCACGCTACAGGTGTAAGGTCTTATATCTCTAGTACATGTAAGGGCCGTCCCGCGAAAAGAAGATTGGAAGACAAGAGTATCGGCCAACAAGTATCGCTGCGGACCATCGCGAACACAACACATGTCATTGAATATCCCTAGAAGACCCATATGCGATCCGCATAAAACATCTACATCATCCCTGAGAAATCCTAACTTCAACTTGGTTCAACTGACCTGGCGCCACAATGCCCTGTAATCATGGAATAGATCTTGAAGGTACATTCCTCCATTCAACAATTTCCGCGCTGGATTGCTAGTGTTACCTTTGCTTAGCTAGGAATGAAAGAATGGATCCTTATAGTAATCCTTGAATAACCCATTATAGTAGTTTCCATTGTCTTTTCCATTCCTTCATTCCCAGCTAATCAAAGGGAAGTAGTGGGAATAGCCAAGAAGAAGCACCTTGGGCCACTGCTTGCGATGCCTCCCAGGCCAATACACCTGACTCCCAATTTTGAGCCATAGCCTAAACTCTGAACATCCCCCTTAATGACCCCTATAATAGTCTCCTAAATAATCCCACCCCCCCTTTTAAGGAGTTTAGACTATGGCTCACTTGGGATGTTGGAGGAGTCCTGGGGCCTGGGTTGATCTGCTAAATCCGGAACCTTCTCAGGCCATCTATGTCGCCAAAAGCCGAAGCTTGACCTACCTCAAAGGGGATCCTTACTCAGAAATTACCCAAAAGCGACTCAACTTTGACATGCCTTTATTTTTCTGGGGCATGACTGTAAGCTGCAACAGGGCTAGAAGACTGGCAAAGCACTGGCCGGCCTTGCCATAGACAACCTGAGCCGAGGCACACGTGCTGAGCGTCCTCCATCTCTGTACATATGTACATCTAAAGATATGCTCATAGCTGTCAGGTATGCTTGGGGTCGTTAAAACTTATGGCTCCCACCTAGCGGCGGGGGCATGTTTTCGTGAGTCCAACTGACATGGTCATTCCAAGAGCCGCACGTCACTGTCGAAAGCCACGGTGCAAACTTTCGTTGGCCTTTGCCTAGACGCATGAGGAACCTTGGCAGCAACCAACGCACAACTGCTTGATGTTCAACAAACTGTTTCTTGACACACTTCACATGGATGGAGAGACCTATGAGGCAACCAGCCTGACGGGGAGAGTTGCCCAACGCTCCCGCGTGGCTGGAGTAGGTAACCTAGCACCTCCCAGCATCTCAAAACACCTCCACATCTTTTGCCCTGAAGCCTCTCATCTCCAGTTTTAGAACCCAGGCTCCACGTCAACTTGCTGGGACTCCCTGGGCCCTGGAACCACTTAACCCCAAACCCCGATTGTCCGGGGCTCCCAACTCTTCTTGTGCATTCATCAGCTCGCGGAAGAAGCTCGGACAACTCCTGGAAAGGCTTGTCGATGCAGGTTCACTTAACACCAAAGTACATGTTCAGCGATTAAATGGCCCCAACTGAAAGTCGTACTTCCTTGAAGGAACCCGCCCACATGAACACATGACAACACCACACCCCATGAAATGTTTACGTAGGGCTCATGTAGCACATTCTTAGTGGTAGATTTGCTACTCTGGACTAGGGCCATATGTCTTAGACTCAATAGCAGCTACGCAAAGGCCTCTTCAGATGTTTTGTTCGCATCAATCAGGCTGTGCAGGTTATTCTGGAGCCCCGTGCTCCCAATACACATCCTCTATATAAATGTATGGACACAAATTTCTATGTGTGTGTCTACACATTCCTGATACACAAATCCTACCGCCAATCTTGCTGCATATCTGGGCACTATTTGGCGGAGAGTTCTACCTTGCAACTCTCATGAAACTCAGGGACGACCGCAAAAAATCTGCAAGTGAAATAAAGGGCCTTTAACAAGTTGCTGCTGCGGAACTTAAAGTAGTATGCTAACAGTGAGTGAGTGCACTCCGGCCTAGGGAAACGTTCCCTCCCGACCTTCTCTTCCCCGTCTCAGAGATGGGGCATGGGGTGGTCGTACCAA